GTTCAATAGAAACTAGAAATAGAAACCAGTTTAATAGAAAATTTTGATCAGAAGTCTTCCTATTTTGGCAAATGCAGAAATTTTTAAAAGGGATTTTTGATCATGAAAATACTAGTTAATAAGCATTAGTGAATATACCCACTAATGGCAAAGAACAAAAATTTGATGCAGTTGAAAAATGCATCACAATTTAAAGAAGTCTTATGACATCTACTCATTTTAATTCAACTTTTCACTAATTTTGAACCACTGCATCGAATACTTTATACTACAGTATTTAAATACTGTATTTTTCACTAACTGACTATGAGGTTTAATGGCCAAAATATCATATTAAATCAAGGTGAGGGCATTCAGGAATCAGTTTCTCTGATCTAGGAGTGATATATTTACACAGCTTATAGCATCTGGAAATCCTTTCCACTGGGTTGTTTGTGCTCCCGTGTAACATAACACGTGTAATCTCATCCTAATGTGGGGTGGGACTGAGAGCCCATAAGATGATGTCTTATTCATACCTTTGTTGGCCACCTTGGCAAAGGTTCTGCATCTCAACAGGGCTGGATTTGTAGCAGCTTTCTGGAGCTACCAGACCTGTGGCTGCTCTGAGGTGGAGGAGGTGCTGGGATCTGACCAGACCCCACCAGAGCTGCACCCTTCTTACAGGTATTGTGGATTCAGGGTTGCAGTCTCTATCATCAGCTCATACACCTGTGTTTTTTTTAATGACTGTACTTAATTTCTTGAACTAAACCCACGCAAATCACAGCCCTTTGAGAAAGTACTTAGGGAAGCATGCAAGAGCAATGTCTGTTTTAAAATATTTCACAGAATGGATTGGGTTGGAAGGGGCCTCTAAAGCTCATCTAGGTTTTGGTAGGGACACCTTCCCCTTCACACTGCTCAAAGTCCCATCAACCTGGCCTTTTTTTACTACTAAGCTGAGAGAAAATACACTGTATTTGGAACTTGCTTCCCTTGCTAACTTGAAACACGAAAGAGAACATGGGGAATTTTGTGCTGCACCTCTTGAGGATTTGTCTGGTCATGTTTACAATTGGTGTGTCACACTGACACAATGTTCACCCTCATCTTTCCTCTAATGGTCTCTGTGCCACTGTCCATGTTCCTGCTTGGCTTCTTGGAGTGTTTTAGAACACGGATTTCTTCTTAGAGACGTGAAACATCTCTGGGCTCTTAGTTCTAAGGAGAGACTGCTGTAAGTAAAAATGGATGCAAATGTAACTGGTTCTGTAAAACAGCCCTTATGTTTTGAAATTATGTGGCGTTGTGTGGTATTCCAAACTCTTGCAATCACTTTGCATATTTGTGCAACTGGGATTTTCTAGCAAAGTTGAAGTGGAAGAGGATTTTAAGCAAGAATATCAAATCACAGAATACACCTTCACCTGAAATGGAAACAGCTTTTTTTGGGGGGGTTGGGAGTTTTTTGTTGTAACAATAATAGCCTTTACATGTGTTAAAGCTGGCATATGGCCAGAAGCCTTGGGTGCCACCAAAGGTTTTATTAATCCATTGGAGCTATTGATAGGTGGTACAGATCAAATCATCCCTTAAGATCTGAAAGTTTGGGCATGGGTAACAAAGGGGAGTTTCGCTGCTGCAGTTTGCAACAGATGTGACCTGTTGAAGGATGCCCTGTGTCATTGGAAATGCAAAGATGCACTGAAGCTCTCTCGGATTGTTCACTCCTCAGCATACAAAATGCTTCTCTAAAATATTTCAGAATCTGAGCTATAAAGTAATTTGAATTCAGAAAGGAAGATAATAAAATAATAGATGATAGAAAAACTCTGTATAGTATAGACTGTTCGAAAGAGCATGAAAGACTTTATCAAATACCTTTTACAGTAGAATTCATTTGTGTTACCACAGGGAGCAATTGTGATCCTCAAATCAAGACAGCAGTAAAATCTGCAAAGGTTTCTCCTCCTCCTCCTCAGATCCCCATTATTTTGATGCTAAATCTTGTCCTAGATTTATCATTGCTACTCTTTGGTTTATTTGCCTTCTTGCCTCCCCGATCATTCCTGTCCTTCTCTTTTCTTTTCCCACTGATTCCTCTTCAGCTGAGTCCAGATACCAAGGGAAAATCCTATGTAGATCACCTGCAGAAAGGCTGGAGAGAATTTTGTCCAGCATTAGCTCTCAACATGATCCTGGCCAGCTTCTCTGCTTGCCTGCTTTCCTTGCACCTAGTGCTCAAAAGGAAATTTTGTGATGGAAGTCTCAAAAGATTTGATTAATCTCAGTCTTTTTATTTGCGTTGAGTTTGTGGTTTTGATGTGATAGCTTCAGGGCAGCCAATGACAGGCTTCAATGTCTGACCTCAGTCTCAAAAATAAACCATTATTTAGACACTTAAAAAGAAAGGCTTGAAAAGAGCAAATCCAAAACTCAAGTTACAAATACAATGAAAATATGTTGATTCAAATCCTGCAAGTGCTTGACAATTTGCTGCCCTTTACAGCCTATCCATCTATTCATTGATAGTTATTTAACAGTTAAATAATTAGGAATAGCAAACACAGAACTGAATTATATTCTTACCTTTTTAACATCATGTCTCAGAGTAAAACCTTATCCATGGGAGGCAAACCAGAACTGTAGATCACAGTAGAGCTGTTCAGCTGCAAAGACAAACCAGCAGATGGACAACCTTAGAATTATAGCCCAGCTCTAGAACTGGCTTTGAGTTTACATTGAATTTACCATTTGAGGTATCAAAAATGTATTACAGAGTTTCTTTAGAACTGAAAACAGGTGCTAAATAAATTATTGGTAGGTACTTGGTAATTTTGCATGTTGAATCAACCCAGCACCTTGAAATGAAGAAGGATGTTTTTCCTTGGCACAGCTATGTTGGATTTGTTGAACTCAGACCTTCCCCAGACCATATGAATTAGCTGGAAGGCTACTGAGATTAAGCTCCTGCTATTTACAAGTCTGAGTTTGAGAAAGAAGAGAAAGTACATGTTTCCATTCCTGGGAAGAAAACAAACCCTCGTGGGTTTTAAGACCCAATGGAAAAGGCTGGGGAGGTTTTTTGAATACCACTAAGGAACAGCCTTCCATCTCTCCATGAGCATTGCTTGTCTGCCTACTCATCTTTACTATTTCTCAAGTGCTCCCTTCAAAATCTGAAATGCTACAAGGCAAAAATCCTCCATGAGGGGAATGTCTGCCATTCCATGTAAGTGTGTTGAAGTAAATGTAAACACATACATCAAGTCTGGGGAATTATTTTCTGCAGCTAAATTGGTGTGTTTCCAGCAAATACTGAGAATATGCAGCTGGAGAATGAAGGACATAAGCCTGTTTGTTAATGCAGCTTCACAGTGAAGGTGCTAGAATTAGCAGAGAAAGAAAGGGAAAGAGAAAATTGCAGAAAAGCTTCATCTATCTCCTTATTGCCTCCTGAGATAGATTGTTCAGAGCTAAAGGAACACTAGACATGAACCAAATCTCCTGCTGTCCTATATAGCTTTTACAATCTCCTTTTTAATAACCCAAACTACAGGGTAGTCTGACTATTAGACAAGCCATTCTTTTGAATTCTCTCCACAATGTGTATAGACATGATAAAAAAACCAATTCTCATTAAAGCTGCCAATGCTGTTTCAAAAGCAGGTGGTTTAAAATGTTTCCTATACAAAGCAAAACACATTTCTTGTGCATTACACGCTGCTTAATAGGGAGTGTAAGATTACACTGCTATGTTGTGTATAACACTGCATCTTAAATAATAGGATATTGTAAGTCGTGTTGGAAATACGTTTCACATGAATATGGAAGATATAACGATATGCACTGAGCAATTTTCAGAAGTGCTGGAACACAGCCTTGTGTGACAACCTCTGAGCTAAAGTAGTTGGAAATAGCATCTGGAATTTCAGATTATACAGTCTCTGATCCTAACTGATTATTTTTTCTAGGATATTGTTCAGTCAGCATGTGGAATATATGAAAGATAAGATTCCTCCTGTCCTGTGGGAATGCTTATTGTTTATGTTATAAATTAAGGATGGTAGGAATTGAGTGCTCTCAACATGCATTTTCATTATAAGCAATGCAGGATTGATCTGATGTAAAAATTGTGATATACAGCTCCCTCCCTAAGATGCCTGTTCATATCCTTTTCCAAACCAGTTCTGAAAAAAACCCCAGCGACCTACAGAGGTCCAGTTGTGCTTCTGTGCAAATTCAGTGTTTGCCCTTCACTTCAGCAGAAGCAGACTTTGGTCCGTCATTGATGTGAACATTTCAGTCTATCTGTGTTTTTCATCAGCTATCAGAAAACCACATAAAGCTTGGTAATTCCGGCTATTTTAAATAAGTACAGTATTTAATGTTATTTTTTAAAATGAACAAAAAATGTTTGCATGTATTATAAACTGCTTTTAATGAAATGAAATGCATTTAGGTCTTCAGTATCTGTCTGTCTATCTTAATTTCTCCATCTTCTGCTTTAAGAAATAATTACTTCTTTTCTGATAAATCAAGTTTTGCAAACAAGGTGAAAATTGATTATGAGGTGATTAAGTTAAATAAAATATTAACATAAAAACTTGTGTAATGTAGCTTGGCAGTAAATTGCTTATTCTTGAAAAGGTGAATTTTAAAAATGTATTTTCTGTGAGTCCTGTTTCTCCTGAGAGGTCTCTGTAAATTCAACAGGTGACATTATAGATAATCCAGTAATGAGTGTTTCACCTGCCATTACATGGAGCCATAAACTACTGCAGTTTAACTTTACATGACTCTAGCAAATATTAATGTATGTAAATAACGTGTTAAACACCTAGTTATCACTCTGCTCATATTAGCTCTTTCATACTAATGATTTATTTTCATTTTCTCCAGGATATAGACCTGCGGCTAACTGGATTTGATTTATAAGAGGGGATTCTGCAGTAAATGGCTGCTCTCTTCATATTGCTGCTATGGAAAACAGAATTGTCAATAGGATGTAGTCTGATAAATAGTGCTGAGTGAAGATGCAGCTTCAATAAGTGTGAAATCAATGGAAGATACTTACCGCATGAAAAGCCTTTTGAGATTTTTCTGACAGGCACCTATTTAGGAAACTCGATCTGTTTCCTCCGCTCGCCCTGTTTTTACACCAGTGGATACAAATCAGATTGCTTCACTGTCGTCACACAACTAATGTGGGACCATGGCCTTTCCAAGCTCCATGTGGCTGGACTGTGTATGGAGAGCGACGGTGATCCGCCTGCTGCACACGGGATTGAACGCCACTCTGGCTTTTTCTATACTTGGATTTTTGCTTCACGCTGCAGCTGTGTCCTCCCAAAAATTGGATGATACCAACCCAGTGGTGACCACCAACTTTGGCAAGATAAGAGGGATTAAGAAGGAACTTAACAATGAGATTTTGGGGCCCGTTATTCAGTTTCTCGGGGTTCCGTACGCTGCCCCTCCAACCGGGGAGCGCCGCTTCCAACCTCCCGAGCCTCCGTCTCCCTGGGCAGATATCAAAAACACCACCCAGTTTGCTCCAGTGTGTCCCCAGAACATTATAGAAGGCAGGTTGCCTGAAGTCATGCTTCCCGTGTGGTTTACTAATAACTTGGATGTAGTTTCAACCTATGTACAAGATCAGAACGAAGACTGCCTCTATTTAAATATCTATGTCCCAACCGAGGATGGTGAGTTAATAGCAGGCGAAACAGGGAGATCTTTTTATTTTCCTGTTCTACTTTCTAACAATATTAATTCACGTGTACTGGTAGCACGCATGGCTTTCTCTGTTGGCATGCCAGCTTATTACATGTGAGCATGCTGCTTTTCTCTGTGTGCATTTGTCCTTGCTTTTTGATTTTTATTTATTTTTTCTTTCTTTCTTTCTGTTACACTCATTTTTTTTCTCCCACAGCACGTGTAATTTTTAGGTCAAAGTTGGTGCCTAATTCTCATTGCCACCCACTGACTTCTGGGAAGATGCATCAACATCTTTTCCATTGCATGTGCAGGCACAACAAGTTGAGAATCTTCCGCACCTAATAAAGCAGGTCATATTTAAGTTAGATAGTGGTGTTGCATGCTCCTACTGTCTGTGACGGAGCTCCATGTTATTTTCTAGTCTTCTATTCATTTTTCAGTCAAAAGAATATCCAAGGAATGTGCCAGAAAACCCGGCAAGAAAATTTGTAGAAAAGGAGGTATGTATAAAGTGGACAAAAAACCCACAAAACAAAAAACGGGGGAGAGGTTGAAACCTTTCAAAAGGAGAACGAATAATACAGGTGAAAGAGGTTGATTGCTGGTGCTGTGAGCTGTTAGGGCCTGTCTTGTCCTGGTGGAGAGGTGTTTAAAGAGAGGTCCATGTACAGCAGATGAGAAGATAACTCTTGTAAAGCCGGGACTCAGTTGCACCTGGTCATCTCTGTCTGGCACCCTCTGCAGTGAGTGCTGGCAGCTTCTCTCTTGGCCTCGAGGCTCTGGGCAGTGTCTGTCAGTGGCACAAGGGGACGGGATGTTGTGTGTGGATGCAGAGGAGGGAGCTCTGTGCCTGGGATGGGCACTGCTAGCACTGGAGGGGCTGGCACAGCCCACGGATCTCCCTTCCAGAACTGTGGCATAATGGCTGGGAAGCATTACAGCAATGCAGGGCTGAGACCTGCACTGGCTTTCTCCAGGATACTCCCTGTTTCCTTGGAACAGTGTTAACTCTTCTGCAGTGTAGATGTGAAACTCTTTTTTTCTTGTGTTTACGTGCTTCTAAAAGTGAGTGCTGGTTTCCTTTATTCTGTGATTACAGCTCTCTTTGTCAAGCCCAAAAACTCTTAATAGGGGTGTAGGGAACTGTTAAAATATTGTGACATGGTACTTTGGGAATTAGACTGCTTTTGGAAGCTTTGGAAACTTGGCTTCTCCCCTTTCTGTGTTAAATAGTATGGAAGAGTTTGCAGAATTCTTTGTGAATATTTGCAAATTCCTCAATCAATAGACATGCAACAGAGAAGGTCTATTTTGGTACTGATTCAAAGGAGGCATTTGGTGCTAGTTTTGAATTACTAATTTTGTACAATGCACATTTGCTTTGCATCAAATGATTTTTCTTTATTGTTTTCTTGAAAATAATGTGTTACCTTAGAGCTGGACTACATGTGAATTAGAATGTTTTCTGGGGTAAACAAAGAGTGCCGTGGACATGCACAGTCGCCTATTAGCTGTAATCCATATTTTTTTTATCCTGTTATTCCAATACAAACACATTTTAGGGAAGTCCAGAGCAGAAATGTTTACAGCTGGACAAAATTTAACTCTTTAAACACTGCATTAGGTTTTTAAGGCAGAACCTAGGCTCTAAATGAAGGTGGCCTTGTTCCCAAGGCTTTAGGTCTTACAGCTCCTAACTGCTGGTTGCAGCTAGCTCTTAATTATCAATTGTTAACTGTAATTGCTCAATGTATGCTTCTTTTAGATCTCTAAATCCACTTTTAGTGACTTAAAGCAATTTGTGTTTAAAGTGTCAGTCTTTGAGGCATCTTCTGTTTTCGGTTAGGGAATTTTTGCTCAGTGCTTTAAAAGTACAATTGTTTAAGCTGGGTTCCCAAAGCTGGAAGTGAAGATAATCAAGATACTGTGAGCAACGTCACTTCTTCACACATCATTCAAGTTAGAATAACTGCTGTCATTTATATGCATTCAATTAATGTGCAGTGCTGCAGCAGTTATTACGCAGTTCATCAAGCGTGTGTAATTAGCTGAGCAACTTTCACTTCCTATCACCCAGACGCTGATTCACAAAGTCATAAATAAAGATGCAGATCCCCATCATTGTTCTCGGAGAGCATCTTTCATATGAGAGAGTATTTTAAAAAAATTATCAGAAACATAGCAAAAGTCAAGGGAGGGAGAGCCCAGTGGCTGAGAAAGTCATGCTTATTGTCATGTGGGCCTGAAGGGAATAAAGAGAGTTATTTGAAATTCAGCAGGTACCTTTCCACTTAGATTCATTGCACACACTGCACAATAAAAAGCCTACCTTTTGCTGTTGACAAGTGCAGAGAGCTCCTGAATACCTTCAGCTGGGCAGCTGAGATATCTGTAGTAATCTCTGCTCTCTGAGTAACTCACACTACTCACCCCTGAGTAACCTGAGATTTATCCTGGGCTGGGATTGCCCCCACAGCCAGGGGAAAAAGGAGTCCAGTTGCAGGACAAAGTTGCAGTAGAGTCACAGCAACTGAGCAGCAGCCACAGCTTGGAAAGGCATCAGTTCTGGTCTGTTTTGTATCAGAAAAAAGAAAGGCCCAGTATTCTCTCTTTTGCTGGATTTTTAGGTTACAGTCATTGCATAACAGTTAGTGATGAAAGTTATTGGAAGGAGAAAATCTGGAAATCAGAGGCAGACTTTTACACCATCTTTTTAATTCATAAAGGATATATAATATCAAAGTGACTGAACCAGCAACCATATGCTTTTACAACATATAGTTTGATTATTTATTACTACATGAAATAGATTGAATTAGATAAATAAATTAGTTTTTATACTTAATTGTCAGCTGAGGGACATGAGAAAATTCAAAATTTTGAAGAACAGGGAGAAATCTGATTAAGATAGATGTAGAAATGAAAGGAGCTCTATCCATGAGTCATGCTAGAGATGGTAATGAGCATTATATCCATGACCTCCTGTTGGGATTTGGATGTGCCCACAGCAGAGACTACAGAATGATAGACTGAAGTTGGGTGAAAAGAAATGAGACAATTCAGCATGTTTTTTTGCTAAACATAGAGGCCTGTATTTCAGTTACTTGACCTTCAATTTACTGATTCAAAAATAAAGAAAGAGCATCTTGTTTTGTGTCTTTTCCGTCAGGTACATCAAGGTCAGAGGCTGCTAATTCTATTTTAGGGATGCAGAAGCTTGTGTTTGCAAGACTGGTTTTGGAAAATCAATGCAAAGGCGTCTAAGTAATTTTGTGTTACTTTATTGAGCCTACTTTTCATAACACTAAATTTTAATAGACCCTAGTTATATTAATTTTACTGATTGATAGTAATTATATTGTTTATTATCTGGCATTTCCTGAATTTCCTGACAAACGTTTGCATCATTTCTAGGGATTGCCTGAATAGTATTCTACTGTTTGGCATTTCAGATCTCTAATTTACCTCATAGTCAAAACACAAATATTTTACTTGTGATCCAGAGTGTTTCCTTAGTTTCCTTATCTCTTAATGGGGCAAGTGCATCCTGCTTTAGCTGCATACTTATGGTGTTTTAATACTCTATATTAATTTATTTGCATTGCAACAATTCGCAGCAGGAATTTCCTAATTTAATGACAACTACATAAAGAAAATTGGGAAAAGATCACTTTATATGCCCACTAAAAGAACCCCCAGGTGTTGTGTGCTCTGCACTTGGGATGACAATGTGCTCTTGCTCTTGTACTAAAGCTTTCATCTGCCTGAAGATGCCTCAGTGTGAAAATGTGGAGGTGCAGCTGGTATATTCTCAATGTCACGAAGCCAGGCAGATGCAGTTTTGGATAAATTAGTATTTGTAGGAGATTTAGGTGTAGAATAAGGAAATAAATCACTTGATCCTTACTTTTATGTTTAGGAATTACCAGTGGCTCAGAGACCGCCCAATATCAGTGACTTCCCCACATGTGGATTCTGTTTCTTATTCTAGTCAGGGCAGTGAATAAATTTTAAATGCGAAGACTCATGATCTGAACTACCTCATTTGAGAGTGTAGGATTAGACAGCTCTATTAATATTTATGCCTCCTAATGGGCTACTTGATTTTCAGAGCAAAGCTCCCCACACCATACTTTCTGGGTTATGGCTGTGGTTACTATGGACGCACAGGAGCAAATGTACATACACACAAATATATTCATGGAACTGAAACACAAATCACACTGCTGTAATCTCATCCTGCTCTGATCTCCCTTTGTTTTCTGTAGAGAATATGTTACATCAGTTTCTAAAAGGCTCTGATAACCTTAGGGCTTTAAGCTTAGCAATGTGAAATATTCTTTAGAAGGCTAAGCAGAAATTTCACCTGTTACCTTGTGTTTGTGTAGTGTGTTTGTTGCAATATTCCATTTAACTACCCTAGAACTGTTTACTCATCATCAGATCTTGGAAAAGAACAATTAATAAAGCATGTGCAGTTCCTGTGGACTCCCTTAAATGAAGATCTTTCTGTAAACCCATTTCAGCTCTGAAATCAACTAGAAAAGAACAAGCTGAGACCTTTAAAATGTGTATTTTCACTGGCAAAAGTTGTCAATTGATTAATAGTGTTCTTTTTTTTCTAAAGATGTAATTTAGAAAATAATATCGAAGTAATGGAAACGAAGGTGGTAAGCTGTCAAAAATTATTGAAATATTCCTTTCTCTACAGCCATGTGAATGAAAAATATGAAATCTAAGGTGGGAACCTCCATCACTGTAGACAGAACTCTGTTAAAATAAGTTATGATGTCAGTAGGCTAAAAGCAAGCCTTTGTAGATCATTGCCAGGGCTCTAGGTCTCTTGAGAATGAATGCCAAACTTACAAAATATGCCTTTATGTGTATTTTGGGGACATCAACCCTTTAAAAGGGTTTCTATCTTCATTAGGCCACTGTGAAAATTCCTATCAAATTATTTGCCTGTAGTATATTTGTGTCAGTAGCT